GATTATGGTATGTGAGTTATTGTTTCAGTTTATGTCATTTGATAACATTCATTTATGAATTTCAATTATTATTATTATTGTTCGATTTATATAGCGCTTCATTACACGTGAAGTGTTTCTAAGCGCATATCACAAACATATACTTCAAACACACAAAAACAATCAAAATCAGGAGAACATAATTAAACACAGCTGCCTGTTAGGCGCTATTAATTATACTTTTGATTATGATAAATGAGTTATTGTTTTCTTTTCAAAAGGAAATATGTCTAATAAGTAGAGGCCTTTGGATACTAAAACAATTGTAAAATGCATATTTGTTTTAATTGAATTTAATTTATTTAATGGGGGGGGGGGGTGAAGTTTGTAAGTTATAAATTACCCTAGTTAAATGGTTGATTTGATCTTGATGTTAAGTGCAGAATGACTTAAAACAAAATAAAACAGATACAGCCAGATTTTGGTAATGTTCACTTAATTTGGTTTATAAAATACTTTACCATACTTTAGTTATGCTAGATTCCCACTGTTGTGCTATACGTTACGATACAATTGTCCCTATTGTGTCCACATTCTGCTACCTGCGGATACGTTTCGATATGATCAACACGATTGCTATGATTGATCTCAATATATGATAAGAACTGATAGGATTACCACGATTATTTCATGATTAAAACCATGATTTCAATCGTAGCACGAATCGTGATCGTAGGAACCTAGCATTAGCAATGATATTGTTTAAGTGTTGGGGCTTGTGTCTTATTAGGCTGAGATTGACCATGCTGTGGCTGATAGAATACTTGACTAAACTTTGGTTCATGATTATAAATGGTCCAATCTTTATAGTTTTGTGTTAGAACATGATAGTAGGATTAATCAACAAATTACTTAAAATGATTCATGATGAATGATCTTTAGTTGACAACACCTGAACAAAAAAACAGAAATAACTTTTATATACATGAATTTTGTATGAAATGTCTAAATTAGCGTATTTGACATTGTAATGTTCGGTATAAGATTCATATTTATGAAAACGGCATAGATTATTTCATCCATTTACATGAAGGGTCTATCTACAGTTGTTTTTTTAATGATATGACTTTAAAATACATATCTATATTTTAAAATAATTGACCACTATGACATGGGTTTTTATGATGTTATGAGGTCAAAGAGTTAAAGTACTGGGTCAATCGTCTCAAATGGTTTTTGTTCCAAATTTGAAGTTTTTAAATTTTAAACAATTAAATCATCATTCATGACATTCAAGTGTCTAATAATTTCTCAAGAACCTGAAGAAGTAAAAATTAAATAGCTTTGGTCTTTTATATTATTTCATTACCAAATATGAATATTATTAAAAAAAAAAAAAAGATTTTTTTCCCAACTTTTATGATTGATTGGGTACATGAAAGAATGGTGTTAATGTCAAGTCTATATCTGGTGGGAATTTTCACATTCATCTACACAAGATACAGTTTGTTTTTAACACCAGTCTAATGGCTGGTGATAAACAAGGCTCACCTCTGTAACAATCGAAGCACTACTTCAATCCATCATAATTAGGTTGGTTTCGAAAAAAATGAAATAAAATGGGGTTATATGATGTCCTACTGTTTAGCAGCAACCAGAAGTTTTTTGGGGGGTTGAGATATGGAATATTGCAGTATATTCACTGTAGGATGACTGAGTATGCTCTGTAGATCGGGAATGTATTACCCGTTATCTGGTTTTGATCCCAGATCTTGTACATGACCAGGAGTCTTACATCGCCTGCTTAACCTCAAGTTTTTTCTGTCTTGTTCTCACTTCTGCACCAATCTATGGACAAGATACAATACGCAGAAATCACAAACAAACGAACATATCAAATTAAGTAAATGGACCCGGATGATAGCCATAAGTGTCCACTGTGCTGTACAGTCCTGGGCCTGTAGTGATACGATAAAAAACATAGTCTCGGTTATCCATTTCTTGATTTATTCATGAATGAACATAGAGCAGCAGATCGGCTCCTAATCCAATAAATATCACAGGCTAGCGATGACATCAAGAGTTGATTATGGTCTGAATAACTTAATTAATGTCTAATTAATAATTTAGATAACATTTCAGGCCTAAAGAAAGACCTGAAATAGGCAGATTTAACTCTTGCATAATGTATGTTTAAGGCATCTTTAAATGAAATAACAAATTATTGTTAATCAATAACATAAGCCATATAAGTTATATGATATTCATAAAACTAACGAGAAAAAGTTTATATTAATGGCAATAACATTTTAAATAAAACCTACTTAATTATAACCACATGTGTTTTTCCCCAACTGATTAATGGAGAGGATAAAGTAATTTCCAATATCTACAAAGTTGGATTCTGTTGACTTGGTTATGCATTTAAATGATATTCATAAAACTCGCTCAATAAAGTTTATATCAATGGCGATAAATATAAAAAAAAAACCACGAGAACGAGAACAACAGCTGGCTCTATAATTTAGCATACTTGCAGTCAGTTAAAGACTTAATACCTCCCCCCACACCCTTAAAATATAGTAAAATCAATAAGGGCCAGAGGGTGGAAAGGAGGGTGTTGGGGTTAAAATATTAAGAAATTAATATATGTACATGGACTTTTCATAAGTCAATTATCTCGCTTTCTGATCAATGCCAAAAGTCCTTTCATATACTATTCAAAAAAAGTAGGGGATATTTGATTTTTAAGTGTTATTAAAGTCACCTAATGAAACTGACGAAGAAACAAATGACAAAATGAAATGAAGTTCACATTCATCGATTTATTCCAAATGATCGTTAGACTAAGTAAGGCACAGACTGACCATTATAAGGGTAAAATGATACCCGGGGTCAAACAGCATCACAACCAAGTCAGTAACGGGTAAATCCTCCTCTGTTTGCCAAACAAGCATTGATCCGACGTGGCATACTCCTAATGAGACGTCTAAGGTCATTTTGGTCCAGATTGTCCCATTCCTGTTGCAACGCAGCAGCAAGTTCTTGGACATTGGCAGGACATTGTTGACGTTGACGTAACCTCTGTCCAAGCATGTCCCAGACATGCTCGATGGGGGAGAGGACGGGACTCAGTGCTGGCCAAGGTAATGTGGTGATGTTCTGTTGTTGGAGGTAACCTGTAACGATCCTGGCCCTGTGACATCTTGCGTTGTCATCCTGTAAGATGAAACGGCGGCCATGACGTCGTGCGAACGGCACAACATGGACTGCCAAGATGTTGTCCCGGTAGTACTGGCCTGTAACACGCCCTGCAACAACATGTAAAGCCGTTCTTCCAGCAACAGTGATGCCTCCCCACACCATAACAGAACCACCCCCAAATCGATCATGTCTGATGACGTTAACGTCTTGGAAGCGCTCGTTTCGACGACGCCACACCCTCCTACGTCTGTCCAAAAAATCAACAGTGAACCTTGACTCATCTGAAAACATCACATTGCTCCAGCGTCGATTATCCCAGTGTTGACGATCCCTACACCAACGACGTCTTGCCTGAATGTGATGATCTCTCAAACAAGGGATCACGCGAGGACGTCGGGCGTGAAAGTGACCCCTATGCAGTCGATTCCGAATCGTCTGGCCACTCACTCTCACACCAGTGTCTGTTTGAAGACGAGCGCTGATCTGATTTGCTGTGATGACACGATTTCTCAAGGCCAAGGTACGGATAAATCGATCCTGTGCTTGAGTTGTCTCCCTTGGTCGACCTGAGCGTGGTCTGTCCTGTACAGATTGTGTATCACGGTATCTGGACCATAGCCTGCTTATGACAGACTGAGAAACATTCATCGTCCGCGCCACAACCGCCTGTGTTGTGCCGATCTGTAGCATGCCAAGGGCACGTAACCTTTCATTTTGGGTAAGCCTACGCATATCAAAATTTGTTTTCTGGTCACTAAAACAATTAAACTGATGTTTCCACCCTGGAATTCAATGCCACAATGACTGTAACATTCAAAGTCAGAGTCGTGCAAATCTTGGGTTGGACCCCCATGATGATCCCAAGCATCACCTGCATTCCATGCGGTAGCTATTGGTGCGTTTGGGCGTCACATGTAACTGGAAATGTTTCTTCTGTTAGGTTCTATAGTGACTTTTTTCGTAGTCATTTGCATATTTTAGTATTATGCCCCCAAAATCAAATATCCCCTACTTTTTTTGAATAGTATATTTTCATTTTAGTGACATACACTTGTACACTCTCTCTCTCTCTTTTCACAAGCTTATTATGGTATCCAGCAGTGTACTGTGAGATTAGCCTGGTATTAGATTCGGTGACATGTGTTGTGAAAGTAAAACTAAACCTGAATGAACTAGGATGAAGACAGGTTATGACGAATGCTGTTAACGATTAGACAACATTGATTTTATAAGATCTAATTGATAATTATAATGGCAATATTGTATGAAGACAAATAAAAGTCTGAATAATTTACTAACGAGAAATATATCTTATATACCTGTAGATACAGGTAAGGTTTAGATAGGGAAGAGTATTGGCATTAATAAAGAGGTGTAATAGATATAGTTAATATCATATAATATTATACCTGTATTTAAATTAACTACGACTATATAGAACCATAGTTCCCAGAGATCCAGGTCCCATCTTCAAGATCTCATGTTGTTTCAGTTTCTTCCTCATTACATTTATGTAATTTTTAGTCTTAGATTTTTTGCGTCGAAATAAGCTGTCACAAGTTAAAAACAAAACAAAAACCGTTGCTCGGCCTCACTAGAGAGCCACCCCTGATGTCATTCTCGGTGTGCGATGTTCCTCGATGTTTTGTGTGGACCATACTGACAACGTGATATATAGTCATATGAATACACAATGCCTTGCCAAATAAATAAAAACATGAAATATGAATTTGATTGGCAAAGTTTCCATGTATTATCAATAAGGACCAGCAGTTATTGATGTGGAATGAATGAAATAGATTTTTATTGCATTTCAGCTCCAACTGGGCTATATATTGCAGCTAATTTTGAAATGAAAGCCCAGGCCTAGTGTATATAAACCCCACTATAGAAAACAGAATTGATTTGAGGGTGTACTACTACAGGTATAAAGAAAGCAAGTTGATCCACTGTTTAAAGCAAACAACAGTTTGTATTGGTCGATCATATAAAGTACTTAAACGATTTTCATTTCTCAGCTTTTCACTAATAATACAAACATCAATACAGCCATTACAGGTAGGTAACATTTATTGATGTTTTATATAGTCGGAACATTTCATTCAGTTGATCTGTTTATATTATATTATATAGGTATATAGCTAAGTGGTTAGCTGTTTATATTATATTATATCAGTTGTTGGCTGTTTACTGATTATATCGGTGGTGAACTTATTATATTATATCAGTGGTTAGCTGTTTATATCAGTGGCTAGCTGTTTATATTGTATTATATATATGTGGTTAGCTGTTTACTGATTATATCGGTGATGAGCTTATTGTATTAAATCAGTGGTTAGCTGTTTACTGATTATATCAGTGGTATTGTATTAAATCAGTAGTTAGATGTTTATATCACTTTAAATGCAAAGGAAGGAGGCTAGGAATCTTTTGTGTTTTTTGTCGTTTTTGATTTTCAGTTTATTCCGGTTTTCTTGCTTGATTGTAGGGGATCGGGTGGCCGAATGATTAACGCATGTGCATTTGATCATATGGTCTGATTTGAGTCAATCCCCTCTTGTACGTGACAAGGAGTAGGGTCGCCTGTCCAACCTTGTGGGATTCCTCGGGTCCTCTGGTTTCCTCCCACAGCTAAAGACCCCTCTGCGCGTAAGCGAATTAATGAAATAAAATTGAACTAGGTGTTACTCCCGAAATGAGCTAGTTTGTGTTGAGTAGATGTTAAACCCCATTTCTCTCTCTCTCTCTCGCTGTTTGATTGTTTTATAATGTAAAGAAAGATAAATGAGTACCTTATATCTTAAATTTTATTGAACCAAATATGAATCTGATATGGAATTCTTTATCAAGAACAGTGCTGACACTGATAGTATTGATGCAGATCTGCTCTATGTACAATATGTTCTATTGAGGCCCATTTATCAGGGCCATTTATGTGTAGAATAAGTTTTAGTTTTGTTCAGATATCAACAATGCGTGTATTGTCTTTATCCAGAAAATAAAGAGTTAGTTCATATGGCCTTCGTAATCAATAAACGTGAAAACTCACCGAATAAACACGATTAGAGACGGACATATCCTTTAATTATACTATTCAAAAAAAGTAGGGGATATTTGATTTTGGGGGCATAATACTAAAATATGCAAATGACTACGAAAAAAGTCACTATAGAACCTAACAGAAGAAACATTTCCAGTTACATGTGACGCCCAAACGCACCAATAGCTACCGCATGGAATGCAGGTGATGCTTGGGATCATCATGGGGGTCCAACCCAAGATGTGCACGACTCTGACTTTGAATGTTACAGTCATTGTGGCATTGAATTCCAGGGTGGAAACATCAGTTTAATTGTTTTAGTGACCAAATGTCACAGGGCCAGGATCGTTACAGGTTACCTCCAACAACAGAACATCACCACATTACCTTGGCCAGCACTGAGTCCCGACCTCTCCCCCATCGAGCATGTCTGGGACATGCTTGGACAGAGGTTACGTCAACGTCAACAACGTCCTGCCAATGTCCAAGAACTTGCTGCTGCGTTGCAACAGGAATGGGACAATCTGGACCAAAATGACCTTAGACGTCTCATTAGGAGTATGCCACGTCGGATCAATGCTTGTTTGGCAAACAGAGGAGGATTTACCCGTTACTGACTTGGTTGTGATGCTGTGGTAACTTTGCTGTTTGACCCCGGGTATCATTTTACCCTTATAATGGTCAGTCTGTGCCTTACTTAGTCTAACGATCATTTGGAATAAATCGATGAATGTGAACTTCATTTCATTTTGTCATTTGTTTCTTCGTCAGTTTCATTAGGTGACTTTAATAACACTTAAAAATCAAATATCCCCTACTTTTTTTGAATAGTATATATTAATTACTGTGTGTAAATATCATTGGTTGAATAATTCTGGTCCTGGGAGGTCAATCCTCAACCTTGAATAGGGCCTACACATGCAGCTTTTTTTGGCAAATATCAGTGATGTTTAAGATGAAGTGTATGTGTGAGATAATGTAGAACTGTGAGAGCATGTACTGGTAATCCATGTTTAAACAATGATTATAACATGACATGCTCAACTGATGACTACTTTATGTGCTTGATTATCTGATTACCTGCGATTTAGAGGGATACTTTATTGTTTGGGGACTGTTCATTTTATCTGTCTATTTCCCTTGAAAGGGATACTTTATTGTTTGGGGACTGTTCATTTTATCTGTCTATTTCCCTTGAAAGGGATAGTTTATTGTTTTGGGACTGTTCATTTTATCTGTTTATTTCCCTTGAATAGGGATGGTTTATTATTTGGGGACTGTTTATATTTGATTTGTCTTTTTCCCTTGAAATGGATATTTTATTGTTTCGGGACTGTAACCAACTGTTTATTCTATTTGTCTATTTCCCATTAAAAGGATAGTTTATTGTTTGGGGACTGTTCGTTTAATATATTTCCCTTGAAGATGAATGTATACTAGGACAATTTTTCCATTAGAAATCTTTTTGTTATGTGCCTTTTATCCAAAACATGCAATACATAGGACACAAATCTATGGTTTGAAATTATTGTAAGTGTATTTCTACGAACAGTGTGTTGGGTGACATGGTAGGTAAGACACTGACTCTATAGTCTGGAGGTCGCGTCTTCGATCCCAGCATTGGCCGAGAAAGTTCAGGAGGGCCTGACAAAGACAGCTGTCTAGTCATTCGGATGGGACAAAAAAACAATTAGGTCCTGTGTATACATTGGCATGCAGTAAAAAATCCCTTAGCTGTTGGATATAAGACTAAGTCATAGCGCCGCTGTTTGGGCAAAATTTCACTCATAGCACACTGTATGGCGTATGCCGTCTTCATAGACCCGGTCACAGCAGAACAGTATATTTTATTTCAATATAACACATGAATTGTGTCCTTTTACTAATTAAGTGGCAGTGAAGTAACCAGAGAACAGGGCTGTCAAGATCATTTTTATGTGCTGGAACAATAGAACAAGACAAATGTTACCCCACCCACCCGACCCACACGACCCACACCTGTGCAAAGACATTCAGACTATAAAATACAGTACAATACATTTATTTTCAACAATCTTTATTTCTTCAATAACTGAAATATGTTTTACTAGCACTGAACTATAATATATCTCAACTTGTCTTCTGCAGCACGAATACCAACCATGCTGACGTTGAAAAAATAAATAGATATACTGACTAGTCTCCCAAAAAAGGTTAAAATACTAATTGTAACATGCTACATTTTTCTCAATGTTTCATTCTCCCCAAATCTCAAATCACATTGCATTTGATTTGGAAAATTTGATGACAGAATCGAAAAAAAAAAATCTTGATTCGAAATCTTGTGAATGGTCCAAACAAACAGATGAAGAAAGTTTTTATTTAAACTTAGCAAATCACGTAGGAAGTTGTGAAAAAAACTATTATCTCTGATACACCATATCCCATGAGACTATCTGACGCAGGCTTTGTTTAGCGGGGAAAAAATTGTTTGTTTGTTTGTTTTGTCTATAGAAAGTAAAGAGAAACACACTAAAGATGATCATCTCCTGGAAACCATTGTCATCCATTGTTACTTTGTTAGAAACCATTGTCATTTCCTCTTGTCATTTTTTTCATGATGATTTTGAAGGATTCCTGCCAAGTGAAAGATGTTAATATCTTTGATTAAAGTAATTAGGGACTATTACTTCTTCTTTCGTCTTCTCTTTCTTGTCTGGGGTTTTGTTCGTGGGGGTTTGTAAATAAATATATAAATAGTCGTAAAGCTTGTCTCATTTATTTCCGTAGATTCTTTAGTACTTTGTTGTTTAGTTTTTATTACAAAACATATAAATGGTTGAATATCTCATTCTCTTAGATACCCATTGAAGTTTCCTTTTTGGTGTCCTTTCAGAAAAATGTAAATTGGCTAATGATCATTACGTGAAAAAGACATGTTAATTGGGCGATGTGGATTTTTTTCATTTTGCCATTACTTTCATTGATTCATGCATTTGTGGTTTTATTCCTATGCTTGTACATGACAAGGTATAGTAGAATTGACTGTCTAATTTCATGGGTTGTCCCCTGGTTCTCCGGTTGATAACTGATTGTGTTAGGAGGGGGACTCTTTTGATCAGAAGGTCTGTCATGGATCTATGTGATTGGGGTTTTGTATCTGACAAGAAATAAGTTCCTGTGGGTTTCACTCACTGCTAACGAGAATTATTCAAATAAAGGTAATATTGTTTGTATTGCGTGGACCTTAAGCACCATTTTCCACATTCTTTGTGCCTTAATCCAGCGATAGTTTTAACTTGGATTTCAGAAGCCCAAACTACTGAATAAATGATAGTGCTGGGGTAATGTTCACCAACCTAATAAAAGTACTCATCCTGATCGAGTTTCCATGACGCTGTTTAATTTCACGTCTTCATGTTTTCAAATATTCCTGTCTGTAAAACGACGGATCAAAATTATAAAGATATTTGTCTCGACAACTAATTTTGAGTTATGTCACTTTGAAGCCATTTTTATGATTGACAGAAATTGATGTATGGTTATATATCCAGCGTTTGAAATGTCTTCTAATTTTCTTTATCCTAATGCCAGACATCTTGCTATTAATTCGTGAAGAAATGTGGAAAATAGATTTTTTGTTCAATCTGCCATCGACTCGTTGATATTTTTATTATATATATTATAAAGAAGGATTGATTTTACACGGAATATGGTTAAAGATAGATGTTCTTATGCATTCAGTCAATCGCTGGTAAGATATTGAATAGATATAGTAATATCCATCCATAGGCTTCAAACCGTAGTATACTGAATAAGCTGTAGTATACTGGGTAAGCTGTAGTATACTGAATAAGCTTCAAACTGTAGTATACTTAATAAGCTGTAGCATACTTGATAAGCCGTGGTATAAGCTTCAAACTGTAGTATCCGGAATAAGCTGTAGTATACTGGATAAGCTGTGGTATACTGAATAAGCTTCAAACTGTAATATCCAGAATAAGCTGTAGTATACTGGATAAGCTGTGGTATAAGCTTC